TTTTCATATTGTACATAAATTTTGTTGTTTTTTTTAAAGAAATGAACTTAATAAATGAGAAAAAATGAAATGAAAAAAGCATCAACTGGTATAAAGTTTTTTTTCCTTGAATGAATGACTTAGTTTAGAAGAACAGGGAAAAATAAAAACACATGGAGATTTACGGTTATTGTAGTTTTTAAGGACAGAAAACAAACGTAAAAATCCACTATTTGAAGCTTTRAATCATTGGACAGTGAATTTCCCAGCCTTGTCCTTGCATGTTCTCCCACARACCAGCTCCTATCTCTCCCTCCCTGCTCCCGCCTGTGATTGGCTGCCGGGGGCCGGAGGCAGGGAGTGGGGGCGGAGGAGTTATAAAGCCTGGGCTCAGCTCAGCTCAGCTCAGCCCAAACCGTCTCTGCAGACTGAGCTGTGCTGAAAGGATCCCCCACCTGTTCCCCCGCTCCAACCTGCTGCTATGTGTAAAGGACTCGCATCGCTGCCGACCTGCTGCTTGGAAAGGTASAGCCTGCTGCACGAAAACACGCTGGGGTTTTTTTTTTTTTTTGGATTATTTCATGTAAAAAAAAAAGCCAACTTTGAATCTGTGTGAACATTTTAGCACATCTGAGCTGTTTTATTTTTCTCTCAGGGCCAAGGAGCTGAAAGCAAGGCTGGGAAGCATTTTGCAGAAGCCCAGTTGGACTCTATCCTGCTGCAAAATAGGGAAAGATAAGTAAGTATCACCTTAAAGCTGCTTTTTTCTGTTTTATTCCTGATATTTTTTTGACACAAATTCAGTTTTAGTCTAAACATGTTTTTATTCTCCTGTTTTCAGGCCAACCCTGGAGGAATGCCTCAGGTGGAAAGAATCCTTCGAAAAGCTCCTGTCCAGCAAACGTAAGTAAYCCTTGGATTTTCTCACACCGAGAAAAAAAACAAAAAAAAAACGTGTCAACTCAATTTTCCAGTGAGCTGCGGTTACACAAGCACGTCCGCCGGGCCATTGTGTGTAATTGCTAATCAAATTTCCTTTTTCCCTGCAGATGGACTGTGTGCCTTCACAGCCTTCCTGGTCTCCGAGTTTAGCGAGGAGAACATRGCGTTCTACTTCGCCTGCGAGGATTACAGGAAAACCAGGTGTTCCGCCAAACTTCCTGCCAAAGCCCAAAAGATCTACTACGAGTTCATCGGCAGCGAAGCTCCCAGAGAGGTAAGATCTCCGCCAAACGAGGTGCTGAGGACGAAAATCTGATTGTTTTTAGGGATGCACCAATATGAAATTTCCAGCCGATATCGATATCCGATATAATTATTGCTGTTATGGCCGATAACCGATATTTATTACACACACACAAATTATATTATACATATACACACAAACGCCCTTGGGTCTTTTTTTGATACTGTAAATGTTATGGACTAATTATCTATCCTTGAAGCTGTCCAGTATTCATATATCTCATGATTAATGTTAATCTGTGTTGGCCCAGACAACAGGACTCCGCAACGGACTGAACTCTCTTGTTTGATAAGAAACTCTTTGAGCTGAGAGCCCTGCGATTGGCTGGACAGTACATTTGTTGATCTGTGATTGGTTGTAAACTGTCACATGGTGTTAACATAATGTTATATTACTGGCTGTGTCCGCTGACGTGTCAGCCACAAGCCGACACAGTCTCCTGATTGAGTTCTGTGTGTTTGTCGCTCAGAATTAAATTACAGTATTATTGACCACCATACATGCAGACTTTCTGTGCATTATTCCAACGTGTTTCTGTATTCTTGGTAAATCATGCGACGACAGAAATTGGCGTTGTTGGCAGGTCTGGTCATAAATAAATGACCAGACCTCTGACATGGCTCCCTACTTCAGTTGTTCCTGGCTACGCAGCGTCAGTATCACTATTATGATCAAACAGATGTCGCTCAACAAACCGTCTCCCCTCCCAAATCAGAAACACAAAGATAAAAAGTGGGAAATCAGTATCGGACATTAACATCMGCCCAGTTTTACATATCGGACCGATACCGATTTTCTAAGATATTGCAATATCGGCCGATACCGATATCAATACCGATATATCGTGCATCCCTAATCTTTGTTAAAATAAAATATTAAGTTTGTGTGCTCTTTTTTCTAGATAAACATCGACCACGAAACCCGCGACATCACCAAAGCCAACATGCAGGAGCCGTCGCCGTCGTGCTTCGACCTGGCCCAGCACAGGATCTACATGCTGATGGCCAAAGACTGCTACCCTCGCTTCCTCCACTCCCCGGCCTACAAGGACCTGCTGTGCCAGGCCAAGCCCGGCGCCAGGACCTCCAAGCTGCCCCAGCAGCAGCAGCAGAAGAAGAAGGCATGAGATCCCGTCGTCGCGGGCCAAGACATTTGAGAACCCTGACCGAGGTGCGCTCGARGCTCGACGAGCCGACGCCGACTTGAGGCGCAAAGAGTGCCGGGAGTGGCGGGCGGTTCTGCTCTGCAGACGCTGCTTGCTCAAAGACAGGAGGCTGGAGAAGTGTGGTGAAGAGGACCGATGTGCCAAAAGAGACGTTTGTTAGAAAGTCAAACTAAAACGACTGAACGAGTCTTTAAAAGGAACAGGAGAAGAAAAAAAGCACTTTTATTTGCCATCAGGCAAACTTTTTTCTATTTGTGATGTGCAATGTTCTACTGCATTTCCACTGTTTGTGCTACTTTATACATTTGTATTTATTGATATTTATTTGCCTGTAACGTGTTTGTTGTATTTTTACTGAACAGATATAAAGTTGCGCAACTTCGTTTCTATCATATTTATATCAGTNTTTTTTTTACATGAAAGATTAAATTATTTGTAAATAAAAGCATGAAAAAACCAAAGAAGTGTTTTTTTTTTTTTTGCCACTTCAGTAGAAAACAAAACTGAATGTTAGTTTCTTAATTTCTGCATCATCAGTGGCTTTTTTTTTTTTTTCAATTTTGTTTTCAATGAACAGAGTCAAGAGTTTGAAGTTGTTTCTATGGAGGGAAAACACGAGTTGCTTAGCAGAGCTAAATATTTAGCTGCGATCCATAAAACACACTTCAGTTCTTAACTTCACCGCAGATATCTCGAGCATCTCTTGGTGACGCGGGCGAAGCATCGATTGAAACGGAAGCTCAGCAGAAGTTTTGCTGGGAGATGTGTAAATATCCACGGGCTCGTCCGTCCGGATGTAGAAAATGACAGGGGCGAACGTTATTTGCCGTCGTTTACGACGTGTCGTTCACCAGGGAAACCTTTCCACTCCGAGTCATAAAGAACTCAGACAAAAAGGCACTTTTCTGCTTCGGGCCATTCGTCCTGCACTGTGTAAATAAGAAGCTTTCAGGCAAACAGGAAGCACCAAAACATGAGGTGACAGCATGAACGTAATAGGGAGAGCGGTAAAACTTTATTATTGCCTCAGAAGCTGTTTGCACTAGCCATCACCAGCAGGTAATAAACGACAGCGAAAGCTTCGTGCTGACAAACGAGCCGAGAACACGAAAGCGAAGGCTGCAGTCAGCTAACATCAGCAGAGAGGATAAACTCTTCCCTCTGCTGCTTTATTCCCTGATCAGCTCCACTCGTTAGGAGGGCCAACGTTACGGTTTCACTGCTTTGGTTTTGAGCGTTTTCGTCGGCTGACAGAACAGAAAATGTGTCTGAATGTCAAGTTTGTGTATTCAGATGTCATCAGTGCAGAGTGGAGCCATTATTAGGTGGACAGCAGCTGGGCCACAGGCCTGATCCATATGCACAGCTCATAATACGGCCAGCTTCACTTAGTAACCCTTTGACATTTGTGTTTGGATCTGAGTACAGAAATGACCGACTAGATCAAAACTCAATCAACAGTCTTCGTATTAAATAAAACTTTATATTTATTAAACCCATGGTGGGAGTTTAAAGGGATCCATGATTAGTTGTAACATTAGACTTTTTTTAATAAACATTTCTTTTAATTGTAAAATAAAGAC